TCTCTGCCCGGGCTCCCAAGTGCACCGGCATGCCACAGCCATTCTTGGTGCCAGGGAGAGTCACTCCTGTTATGAACAGCTCTGCTGAAGTTTCTTCCGTCTCCCCAGGAGATCGTAAGCAGAGCTGTGTCGGTGGCCATGGGCCTTGGGGACAGTACTGACAAGGAGGGGGACCACGGCCTTATGGGATGACCAACCGTCCACCCCAAGTTGGCCAACGACTTGGGCCATCTTCTGCTCATTACCAGACCATTATCAAGGAGCTGGATTGGAAGTGGAGCCGCCAGTGCTCAAACAGGTACCCATGTGGGAGGTTGGCATTGCAGCTGGCAGCTTTACCTGTTACGCCACAAAGCCTGCCCCAGAAATGGTTGATTTTAGGACCAGATGAGTAAACATAGAATGAGCCTGAAAACCTCTTGTAGCGGGGTAAATAAATATCAGTAAAATAACATATATCCTGGCCCTGCTGCCTCACATGGAAGACCCCACAGCACCTTCCCCACCAAAATAAGAATGTATCTACCCAAACACTAAAGAACCAATTGAAATAAGCTATTGAGAGCAGCATTTGACTCTAAAGAAGATAAAAACAGTTTCTTGTGGCCAACTTCAAATAATCTTTAGAAATAAGAAAAAAACTTCAAATCTGTTTGGATAATCCTGCTTGGGTTTTTCTGTCTTGTGTAAAAGTTGAAGTACATATAAATGGCCGGCAGAGGGAGCCAAAGCCATTCACGTGAGATTTCCATCTTTTGCAAAGGAGATTAAAAACTACACAAGTGACTCAAGACCATACAGAAAAGTTACAGAATTGACATTGTCTCCTGCTACGCTGCTGTAAAGTCCTATCCAGGTGCAGTGAAAGCTAGCTGACATGCTGCCTTTGAAGTGGCCCAAAGTAAGGACCTCCCAGCCTGCCCTACCTGTCTGTTCTTCTCCCCCTCTTCATCCTCCCATGCCGACACAGGCAAAAAAAAAAAAAAAAGAAAAAAAGAAAGAAGGAAAGAAAAAAGACTGAAACATGGGTCCCTGCCACCTTGCTCCATATCTGACCCTCCCCACCCTAAACAGAGGTCCATATGGGCATGCAGCCCTCTCAATTATATAAGCAATATTAAAAACCAAATTTAAAAAATTAAGACATGTTGGGCCCGGCGCGGTGGCGCAAGTGGTTAAAGGTCCTCGCCTTGCACGCCCGGGATCCCATATGGGCGCCGGTTCTAATCCCGGCAGCCCCGCTTCCCTTCCAGCTCCCTGCCTGTGGCCTGGGAAAGCAGTCGAGGACGGCCCAAAGCTTTGGGAACCTGCACCCGCGTGGGAGACCCGGAAGAGGCTCCTGGCTTCGGATCGGCATAGTATCGGCCCGTTGCGCTCACTTGGGGAGTGAATCATCGGACGGAAGATCTTCCTCTCTGTCTCTCCTCTCTGTATATCCGCCTTTCCAATGAAAAAATAATAAAAATAAATCTTTAAAAAAAAATTAAGACATGCAATGAACTCCACAATGTTGTAAATTGTTGTTGATGTTATGTTGGGGCTTTTAATTGGTCGGGACGATATTCTGCCAGCTTAGCCTTCAGACCAGAAATGGTCTCCCCAAGAAACCATTGAATGCATCTGGACAACAAGATGCTGGACTCTATGCTTGGCATATGCCCACAATGAAAGAATCTTGACTGGATTTGAACTGTAATATTGCAACAAGGTGGAGAAATCCACCATGGGGGCAGGGCATGGGGAGGGGTTGAGGGAATCCCAGAGCCTATGAAACTGTGTCACAAAATGAAATGTAATCAAAAATTTTTTTAAAAAATTTTAAATTAAGACATGATAGGGGCCAGCACCATGGCTTAATATGTTACGCCTCCTCCTGCAGTGTCAGCATCCCGTATGGTGCCAGTTCAAGCCCCAGTTCCGTTCACTTGTTTTAAAGTCAACGGTGCCCATAGTGGGGGACACAGAGAGGACTTCCATTGGCTGGCTTACTCCCCAGATGGCTGCAAAGGCCAGCACTGGACCAAGCTGAAGCCAGGGTCTTCATGTGGATCCAGGAACTTCGTCTGGGTCTCCCATGTGGGTGGCAGGGGCTCGAGCAGGTGGGCCATTTTCTGCTGCTTTTCCAGGCCATGAGCAGGGAATTGGAAGGGAAGTAGAGCAGGCAGGACACGTCCCAGCAGCCACGTGGGATGCTGGCATTGCAGCCGGCAGCTTTACCCATTACAATGCATGCCTCTTGAATATATTTACAGAACTGTTAAAATGGAACTGTAAGAAAGCAAAGAATTCTACTAGAATGTGAGCCAGTGACATAAAGAGACATACTACTGAGTGTGACCTACAGATGCTAAGCACACACGTGAAAAAGTGCTCTGTATCATCAGTCAGAAATGCAAATGCAGGGCACAGGTGCTACCCAGACACACTTTCCAGAACCTTCTGACACGTTATAGAATGACTCTGGGATGTGCCTGTCTAGACCAATGTCACTCACCGTGCAGGAAAGCAGGAGAGAGGGTGAGGGGCTTTTCTGTCCTGGCTTCTTCGGGATCTAAGGTATTTGGATTTCAGGGGTGGGAACGAGAGGGGAGGGGCAGGAGAGTTGCCTCAGATGCTGCTGCGATGTCCTTCATTCTGTACGGGTTGGATTTGGGCAGCGGCGTCCTGCAGACTGGTGAGCTGGCACACCTGTGGCGGAACTGGCACAGGATGCCTTACATTTAAATGGCCTCTGGGGAAACAGCTTGCCTTGCAATTTCTGTACATATTCACAAAGACACACTAACAGCATTGAAAAGTAGCCAAGCAGGGGAAAAAGCTGCTATGACACTGAACCAGGACCGTTCCTGGGCCAGGAGAGCGGCTCTCGTGCATCTGAATTCAGCACAAATGCCGAGGAGCTTTGTTCACCGTGCGATGCGAGCTAGACACTGCAAACGGCTTTCTGACAACCCGCGTGGGTGCACTTCACAATAACCATTTGGGGTAACGCACTAACTTGACGTTGGACCACCCAGTGCATTAGCAGGCTTCCAACACGACACCTCCACGGGTGTCCAGGTGTGACTTTACCTTTTTGCTTCACTGGGAAAGTCACCAACATTATTCTCCAACACATTTTTGAAACCAGACCATTTTAGACCAGATTCCTCTATTCAATCCTGAAGACCAATTCATAACTCAGAAGGGAAGGAGAACTCCCTACTGATTTTCCTAGGGTGCTTTCAAAGGTGAGAGCAGGACAGCCGGTGGTGAACCAGTGTTCCTCAGATGCCACCGCCCACAGGACAGAGCCGGGCACATGTTACAAGCAAGCAAGCTTTGCGCTCACCCTGGGCTTTCTGGCTCTGTAAGCTCAGGCACATGGGTCTCTCCGAGGACCTGCATGAGTTCTAGGGTCGAAGATCGGGCAACCAGGACAGACGTACCGTCACAGGAGGAACCCTGCCTTGTTGTTTTGAGTTACCAAGTCATTTTCTCTCACTGAGGCTCTGTCGTAAAAGTAACAAACAAAACTACAAAGATGCCAGGAGCCTGATTTCAGTCCCTTGCTCCATCCCTGTGCCCCCACTAGCATCTGCTGAGAAACGTGCTACTGCAATGAGCCCTCGGGTTCCTCTGGGCTTGAGAATGGGGATCTGCAATGAAGAAGCCATTCACGCTGCGTTTGGTCCCCACTTACACAACGACTGCTCTCTTAGTACGACAGCACAGCTGACCGCACTCGTTTCTCATCTCAGGGCTGGGACTCCTTGTCGGCACTCATCACAAAGCCTGGCTCAGAGCAGGTGCTGCGCTGCGCTGAGTGAAGCCTGGAAGCGTCAGTAAATCCCACGGCAGTCACACAGAGGAACACACACGTTCTCTCCCCAGCAGCGAGGTGCCCGAGGACGCCGGAGGGGCTTTCACTGCTCACACACGCTGTCAGGCAGCATGGGCCAACGTCGGTCGGAGTCTCTCCTGGCCCACACAGAGTGTGCAGAACCCAGAGCCTTGACTCTAACGATGGAGGCAAAATGGACTCCAGAAACTCCCATTTGTAATATTTCAAATTTATTCAGCAAAATGTTCTTATTTCTTTTATAACTATATTAAATTACTGCATTACGTCATCTTGTACTCTATATGGACCTAGCACAACTGAGAGGGGCGCCTGTTGAAGCACAGTCCACACGCCGGCAGCATCGGCATCAGCTGGTTACAAAGCCAGCTCTGAGCCCTAGCCTAGCTCTGTCGAGGCAGTGATCCTGGGGCACACCCTCCCGAGGCAGTGATCCTGGGGTGAGCCCTCCCGAGGCAGTGATCCTGGGGTGAGCCCTCCCAAGGCAGTGATCCTGGGGTGCAGCCTTGAGATCAGGGCTTTGACAAGTAGTCTAAGGAGAACCACAAATGATTTTATACAAAATTAATTCAAAGAAGGTTGACTTCAACTTCCTGTAAACTTCCAACAGTGTATCAGAACTGAAAGGCCACAGCAGTGCTTAATCAACTGCATGTGAATACACTGAATCAGCAAACGCAGGACAAGTCATTCTTATATAATAATTCAAGTTTCCTATTTTTGAAGAAAATTTGGAAACACTGATCCAGGCATGAAATAGTCCTGACTGCTCCATTTGACAAGTAAGACACAAAAGCAAATTTAATTTTAATGTTATTAGTACACGAGAAAAAATAATCCCATGGATATACACTGCAAAGTCACAAAAGCAATTCTGACAGAACTGGCTGATGACAGACCAGATTCAAGGACAAGAACGTACCATAAACTATCAGTCTACATTCTGCATAACAAGAGCTCACAGCTGCAACCTTGCAAAAACATTAAGCCAAGGAACTTGAGGAGACACAGAGAGAAGCTTCTAGAACTACCGCCCATGCTATCCTGCGGCCTGAGAGCCATGAGTCAGGGATATTTCTCTGACAATTTCCCGCAGCCATTCAGTTCCTCCCGGAGCAAGAGGTTGGCTTCGGCGTGCAGCAGCTAGCAAGCAGGGACCCTAGTCGGGAATAGCGAAGGGCAGGGCACTGATAACCTCACCGGTCTCCGTGACGATGGCGTCGTACACCCAGCGGCGGTTGCAGCGGCACTCGGGGCCGCACTTGTTGGAGTTGCACTTGGGGCACGGGTAGAAGCAGCCCAGGCAGTTTTTCTCCAGGCAGTCGCACAGGTCGGCGTCATTGCAGACGAGCTTGCCACTCCTGCTGTACTTCCTCACCGCTCTGCGGCCGGAGGAACCGGGGCGACAAGGCAGGGCTCTTGTTAGCACTGGGGCAGACGCCCGCGCAGCCGCCTTCACACACCATGCTCTCCTCGGGGATTACCCAGAAATATGCCAGAATGGTCTGCGGTCAGCTTGCCATGGAATTATAGCCCATGGCAGCCAGACTTGGCATTTTTCCAGCTTTGCACTGAAGGATGCTATAAATAAACTAACTAAAGCTTCCTCCTGCAGATGCTTCAAACTTTTCTTTAAAATATGACCATTCTGACAATCTTTACATAGTTAACTAGGATAAAAAGTTTCAAGGGCTGTAGGGAAGTGGATAAGACTATCATTTCCATATTGTTTCTTTCATGTATCTGAAGTAAAGGGGGAGATTAAGGGAGAAGCCCCACCCAGTTTCCCACCTACCCCAAGTCCCAGATTTGGGGCATGCTCTGAGATACTAGCCCTTGAACCTTTTTACCCTAATCAACTATGTAAAGATTGTCAAAAATATAATAAAAAAATAAAAATGGAAAATGTGACCATTCTGGGACAGCTTTGTGCTCTGCAGGATGAGCCTCTGCCGGCAATGCCTGCATCCACATGGGAGCTGATTTGAGCCTCGGCTGTTCCATTTCCAGTGCAGCTCCCTGCTAATATTCCTGGGGGAGCACCGGAGGATGCCCTAAGTGGCTGGGTCCCTGCACTCCTCTGAGATGTTCGAAGACACTTAGGGATCCTGGCTTGAGTCTGGCCCAGCCTTGGCTTCTGCAGCCATTTGGGAGGCAAATCACTGAATAGAAAATTCTCTTGCTCTCTGTCTCTCTTCCTCTCTCTGTAGCTCTGTCTTTCAAGTAATTTTCTAAGTCTTTTTTTTTTTTTAAATGACTATTCCTGGGCCCAAAGTGATGGCTCAGTGGCTAAATCCTTGCCTTGCACATGCTAGGATCCTATATGGGCACTGGTTCGTGTCCTGCTTGCTCCACTTCCCATCCAGCTCCCTGCTTGTGGCTTAGGAAAGCAGTGGAGGTTGACCCAAAGTCTTGGGACCCTGCACCTGAGGGGAGACCCAGAAAAAGGTGCTGGCTCCTGGCTTCGGCTCAGCTCAGCTCAGCTCCAGCCATTGAGGCCACTTAGAGAGTGAACCAGCAGACAGAAAATCTTTCTGTATCCCCATCTCTCTGTATAAAATAAAAATAAAAATAAATTAACATTTAAACATTTTATCTATTTTTTTTTCAAAGAGGCATATTGATACAATGAGAAAGACACACAGAAAGGGGTCTTCCATTCACTGGTTCATTTCCCAAATGACTAGAACGGCAGCAGCCAGATATTTCCACTTCCCTCCAGTCTACTGTGAGAAGGCACCACCAATGACTTCCCGTGTATCACTGATGGGTGTTTGTACCAGCAACAACAGCAATGCCACAAAATCTCCTGAACATGGCTGCACACATGTGTAAGACTTTTGGCAGGACAGAAAACCAGGAGTGAAGACACATAGGTCATACAACACAGGGGTCATATGACACAGCGTACATGTGACAGAGGGTCATGTGACACAGGGTTATACGACACAGGGGTCACGTGACACAGGGGTCATACAACACAGGGTTATACGACACAGGGGTCACATGACACAGAGGTCACAGGGGTCATGTGACACAGGATCATACGACACAGGGGTCATGTGACACAGGGTCATACGACACAGAGGTCATACAACACAGGGTCATACGACACAGGGGTCATACTAAGATGTCTATTATTTTTTATTGACTTGCAAGATTTCTTATAAATTTTGGTCAGTGATTTTTTAATATATTACTATATATATATTCTCTCACTTATCCTTCATTGTTCAATGGGCAGAGATTTTAATTTTCATGTGGTCAAGTTTATCGAGCTTTCCTTTGCTTAATCTCTACCCTGATATACTAACGACCACTGCACTCTGGTTAGTCCCGGGCCCATGTGATACCACAAATCCCTTCCATGGTGCTATTCCTGCTCATGAGGAGAGACACTCACTTCCCACCAGAGCTGTTACTTGGGTCTGTGCTGTTGAGCCTCTCTATGAAAAACAAAACAGAAGAAAAGCACCTCTTCACTTGGTGTAGTGGGGTGTTTCCTGACTTTGCTGATTTCCAGATAACACACTATTATTACACGCTAGGAAGAGATATCTGTAAGTCATAACAGCAATTTTTAATTACCTGGCTTGATTAAAGAAAAAACGTATCATGACTCCACAAATCAAACACGATAGGCCATGGACTCACTTGTACTTTGTAGAAAAATACTCATTCATCTTCGACATCCTGGCCCTCTTCTTCTGCTGCCGTGTCTCGGGGTTGAAGTCGGCTACCTGGGGCCCGGGGTTCTGGAACGCCAGGCATCTGAGCTGCCGCTCTATCTGTTGCTGTGAAATGAACAGATGTACTAGGAATAAGAGCCTTGGGTGTTTACACTGTCTCCAAACAAACTTTCTATAGTTTCCACTAGGATGCAAGGAAGTGTCTGTGTTTTGGAGAAAAGTAGCCGATCTGATTCAGTTTCAACAGCTGATGCAAACTTTCTCCAGTGAGGCTATTTCTTCTGAATAAAAAATTTCAAAACTCACATAAAGCAAATGCCAAAAAAGAAAAAAACAATAGAGGGAGAACAAAATAACCATTTTCAGATCTACGGAGCATCAGTGAGCTTCCCCAATCTGAGGGGCCGAGCGTCAGGATTTCCCGTTCTTTGGAAAGTTCAAGCCAGCAGCCTCAGTGCAGGGGAAGCTGAAGCGCACGCAGCCCTGCCCTTCGTGCAGGGTCCAGGGTGGCGTGGCCCGGAGCGTGGCTACCAGTGGGACTGCCACACAGAGACAGCGACCATGTACAGCAGCAGTGCTCCATCGGAGCCAGACCTGGAAGTCTCGCCAGAATGACCTGCAGTGTTGGGGGACTTTTCAAACTCTCTACCTAGGAGGTCTTATCCAGGCATCAGAATGCTTCAGTCAAATCCTGATGAGTCACTAAGAAACCTACATGCCCACTCATGTATCTGCAAGATGCAGTGTAAGCAAGCCAGCAGCTCGTCCATCTGCAACAGCCCCGGGCTGGGCCATGCTGAAGCTATCAGGAGTTGGACACTTGCTCCAGGCTTCCCACCAGGGCGGCAGGGACCTGGATTCCAGAGTGACCACATGCTGCCTCCAGGTGCGTCAGCAGGAAGCTGGAGGAGAAGCAGAGTCCGGACTCCATCAGCAGCTCTGCTGTGAGATCAGGGAAACCAAGAGGCGGCCTGACCTGGTGCACCACAGCCCTGGCCTCTGACAACTCAACATGAACATGTAACACCTCTGTCACGAGGGAAGGGGGTATTCACCTCAAGAATTTTGGAAGAAAATCACCTGGAGAACCTGGAAACACACGGACAGGTTGTACAGTCAGAAACAGAGGGGCACATCCCCTTGGGACTTTAGCAGATGTACACAGATGTCCCTGTAGTTGATTGGGCTTAACAGTAGGAATTATACAATAATCACTTTAAGCCTGCTTCAAACTTGCTTTACAACATGACCCCAGTGTGTGCATGGGTTTGTTTCATATGCAGAACCTTGCCAGTGCAGGTCCACTCTCTGGCACGGCTGGGAAATAAGGGCAGCGTGGTGCCATCTGTCACCAGCTCAGCCAGAGACTAAGAATGAAGACGGCAGGAGTGCGCCCACCATGTGCAAGTGCTGGCCTGGCCACCAGCTGCTGCTGTGCCTGGAGCCATTCCTGCTCCTCCAAGCCTCCCTCTGTCCTCTTGTGAAACAGGGCTCCCAACTGTATCTCGTGACAAGGGTCAGAGCACTTGAAGTTTTAGAATCATGACATAATAAAAACAAAAGGAGAGCTTGTTCATAGAAAATGCTGGAAGGTATTCTCCAGCAGTATTCTAGCCAGGGGGCAGGATTCTATTCTACACAAAACGCTGGGCTCACTGGGCTCGGGCTCACAGGGCTGTGAGAGTAAGCAGGAGACAGGTGCGGCAAGGCCCGTCAGTGTGAAAAGACACGCAGTGCCCCAGCATGGAGAGCAGAGACCATCTCCTTGAGTCCCGACTGGCCCAGCTTCCCACAGGGGTCCACCTGCTGGGAACTCCCCTGACATCACGGCGCCATACCAGTTGCTTCAGCTCAGTTTGGCAGGTTTTCTCAGGAGAACTTGTATCCATGGGTCTCTGTTGAGTGGAACTGCTTTTTGCTGCTTGTTCACTCATTTCTGATTACTAAACAATTGGGGAAAGAAATTGCATTAATTATTGACATCCACATGTGCAGCTGAAACGATGAGCCAATCATGGCAGAGTATCTTTCTGCCCTAACCTGAAGTTCCAGAAAATCAGCAAAACAAAAAAAGCTGACATTCTTATGCAAAAGTCAGTCTCTACTGTAACTCATTTGCAAATAAAGCCATTTTTCAGAGACACTATGTGTAAGACATTTCTGGAAAAACATTCATAGACACATGCAAACCAGAGAGTCAAGATATTTTAATCCCACTCTGTCCCTAGCCACTTGCTGGGAAGGACAAGTCCCTGAGTTAGTCGACAGGTGAGTCACATCCCACCTGGGGGATCTAGTGAAGAGCCAGCCACTGCGCAGGTGGTCAATTAAATCAACCCCTCACTGCTCCCTCCCGGCTGAGGCAGCTGTTTTCAAAACCAGAGGACTGCTCGCTCTAAAAGAAATCACCATTGCCACATGTCCAAGCAACAGCAGGCAGCTCTGACTAAGGCTTGAGGGTGATGGGAGCAAACGACAACGGAGAGGCGTGAGTCACAATAGCTACGGATTCCCACAGGTGCTTTTATTGCTGCATTTGCCTACACACACACACGCACACACACACACACTCCTGAGGCTCCATATAAAGCAACATGAAAACACACACAACATACTTAAAATGAAAATGCACTGGGCAGAGAAGGTGATTGTCTTTGAGACACAACGCAAACAGACAGCTGTCATTACAAGTGTCATTAACGCCACCATTCGGGGTCGTTTTTAACCCAGTCACCCGACAGAGTCCCCCAGGTCGGCCACCAACCTGCATCTACCTACCAACGCCTCTCCAACTGCAGCTCTTTTATAACAAGTCTCTTGAGTTGCACATCCTAACCCCTCCCTTGACGCGCGATCAAAACCAGAAAGCTGCCTTCACCTTTTCCCACCAACAGACGGAAGCACACTGAGGCCAGAAGCTGGGGCCACTCTCCCTGGAGACACACCCAGCTTCATCCTGATCCACGGCCTTCCAAAAGCACTCATTCCAAGTATGTGTGGAGATTTCTCCCCCAGATCCCACAGCCCTTTCGGGCTTCTTCCTCAGTTTCCCTTGTTCCTTCAGTCCACAGGGCCAAGAAGGAACTTCATGGGTCTTCCACTCCTAACCACAACCCAGGAAGGCAGCAACAGACACTGTGTCACCTCCGGGCGGCTCCTGATCCTCCTCTTTGGAAGCAGAGGGCAGCAGGCTGAGAGAGCATGGCCCAGGCTCCCCTGGCCAGGCCTGTCCCTCTGCACTTGGGAAGAACCAGGCCACAGCTGAAGCAGCAGGGGTTAAAGAGAAGCACCTACCTGCAAGCTGCAGAGAGGGAGAGGACCCCGGGAAGACAGAGAAACCGCACTTCCTCCTTCCCTTTGTTTTGCTGAGAAACCACAAATCCCTCATGGGAAAACCCTAAGGCCCCAAAGGTGTTGGTACAATTTACGGCTTTCATAATAATGACTGGGAGAAGGAAAGATGAGGGCGGGTCAGCACGGGCAGTCTGGCTCTCCCAGCCGGCGTGGACACCAGCATCACACCGAAGAGGAAAAAGTCACCTCTCCCTTAGTTCACCCACCACGGCAATTCATCTAGAGTCAGGGTTTGACTCTATTGCTCAGCCTCCTAGCTTGATTTCCACTGCCTAACTCATTCATACCAAACTGTTCCCCGACTATTTTTATGCTTCAGCATAAACAATGCACACACAAATATATATATTTACAGTTTTTAGCTGAGATACATACATTTATATATATGTATATAAAGGGAAAAAAAAGCTATGTTTCCCCAAAAGAAAATAAAGCTATGTTTTTATGCTGTGTCTAAGAAACAGGTCAAGCTCTGAATGTAAACCCTCCATGCACTGTCCTCTGCCACCTGCGCTCACACGTCCTGTTCACTAAGGCAGTGCTGCGCTTTCGAGATTACCTGATAAATGCCACATAATCAAACCTGTTTCATCTTGCCAGGCGTGGACCGACAAAACTCAGGGCAGGTCCAACGCTGACCAGATTGTTTCATAATTAGACACAGTACGACAATGTCTACTCTTGCCAGTGTTAAGCTTTGAAGTCACATAATTGACAATACATAGCACTCTTTGTTGCTGTGTTCACGTACAGTGCTACCTTTACCCCAAGAAGGACCAAATGTAGTAACGACCAAGTACAAAGGCAAGAATGAGCTGAACAGCAGGCTCAGAAAATCTCCTGAAGAATACGAATGATAACCAACATAAAACTCTCCTGGACAGATCTTTTGCTTATGAATGCTCACATGCCCAGGTGTATCTGGCAGGTACGCCACCATTTGGGACACCTGCGTCCCATGTTGGAGTACCACTCCCGACTCCAGCTCCCTGCTAACACACGGCCCGTGAGACACTAAGTGACGGCTCAAACGGGATTCACTGAGTCCACACTTCCTAGCATCAGCTGTTACAGGCATCTGGGGAATGAACCAGAGGAAGGGAGCTAGCTGCTTTTCTCAAGCTTCTTACTTTTCAAATAAAGAAAATATAGAAAATATGAATAAAACAAAAAGTTGTATGCTAAGAAATGGGACACCACAGGTTGGAAAGTTGCTTTGCTTTATTTATCCAGTTTAAATAAGTTTAAGTAGAAAATTATTATTCTGCTTTATTTATGGGTTTCTTAAGCAAAACATAATAGCTTGTGAACTTATAATTTAGTTGGTAAATCATCAGAAAACTTTATACCATTTTTAAACATTTATTTTTATTTGAAAGGCATAAGTAGAGACAGAAAAGCTCTTTCATCTAGTGGTTCACTCCCCCAAATGGCTGCAACAGCCAGAGCTGAGCTGAGCCAAAGCTGGAAACCAGGTGCTTCCACCAGGTCTCCCATCACATGGATGCAGGGTTCCAAGAACTTTGGTCATCCTCTACTTCCTGAGCCATAGCAGAGAGCTAGATTGGAAGAGGAGCATCTGGGACGTGAACCAGAGCCTCCACAGAATGCCAGCCCCACAAGGCACAGGATTAATGAGCTTGTGCACCACCATGCCAGCCCCATATCATCTTTCATATTCATAGTGGTTTAATTTCAAAATGGAAGAGTACTAAATTTGCTAGTCCAGTATTTACTGTTAAGAGGATGTACTTCCTTTTACTCAGGGGTTCTCAGGTTGAAAATTTCAACTCAAAAAATGAGTTGAAAGTCACACAAAGTTGACTGCTTTTCCAAATGAAGGATTCACATATACTAAAATGCCTCTACGTTGACCTATGAGTTCTCAGTAAGATATACATTCACGAGTCATACTGCCTCATCAGGTGGTAGCCATCTGTGTATTAATATGTAATATGCCTTGTACTTCAAAGTCACACCTTTCATAAGCTTATTAGTTGCCATTTTGTTTACCACTGCATACACAAAACAGACTGTCCATACACAAAACAGTAGGTAAATCAACTATGCCACAGTTACACCCGTGTGATAAACAGCGACTGCTACACAGCTATGAGAACAGAGTAAGGAAGATGGTATGTCCGCAGGGATCCGGAGCAACAATGTAGAAGGTGTGATGGTCCAGCACAGGTGATGCTCAGCCTGCAGTTAAGTCTCAGCAAGCCCACTCACTGAGTACCTGCAGTTGGAAATATCTGAGGTCGAGGCCACAGAAAACGCAACCTCATAGCTTAGCAAGGCATCACACTGCTCAGTGTGGGTTCCTCATGCCCAGGATCTCGGGGAGGACAGCAAGCTACAGCTGCTCAGCATGAAGAGGGATCGTCACGCCATGAAACACAAGCTCAGGAAGAGAACAACATTAAAACTTCAAAGGATGCTTCCTACTAAATGTATCTTGCTTTCACACTATCATAAAGCTGAAAAATTGTAAGTTGAAACATCAAAAGTCAGGAACTATCTGTTAACCCCTTCTGTGTAAGAAATAAGAAGATAGAAGACTATCTCAACTGCAGCTAGATAATTTTAATAAATCATATGCTATAGGGGATGACTTGCAAAATAAAAGTCACCACCTTTGACAGTGCATCTAGGGAGAGGATGATAGAAGGAACTCTAGGCTTTAACATCCCAAATGTGTGAGCGTTTTCCTCCACAGCTCCTGGACAAGCTCTCGCTGGGTCCACCCAAAACTCCAGTGGAAAGAAGTGGAGAGAACAGTCCCCACTGTTCGGGCACTGCTACTGCAATTTCACCGCATCGTGTGGTTACAGGCACTGTTACACTCTGAAGCTGCGATGGGTTGTACTTCTGAGAAAGCTCATGTCCCAGTGGATCAACGGAGCTGAGCACGCAAGCACAGGGGTAGGTGGGCAGAGCTAGGGCCAGGCAGGGAGAGGCAGGTGCACAGAGCTGCTCTCAGCAGAAGCCTAGCTCAGGGTGAGTCCATAAATTTCAGAGGGTCAAGGTTGGGTATGAAGAGTGGTCAGGCTACTAGACTGAACTTCAAGATGTATCACAATAGCTTCTGTGTGTTTCTGCATATTCTACTGGGCACCTTCTCCAGGGACAACAGTGGTGTGGCTGGCAAGAGGGGGAGGCAGAGCTATGTGCTTCCTGGACCTCCAGTGGCTTCATTTGGGATAATCACTAACATGATTTGACACAGTTTGCAACCTGGATAGAGAGGGGAGTAAGTGAGTGTGACATACAGGCTAATTGGTTTAAATTCACTATTCCTGTTAGTGTTATTATTATGCTAATACTGTGTTCTGCATTTGGTTTGACACGTATTATTTCATAGCCACATCCCTTCTCAGGACACATTCTCTGCTTGCTGCCCCTCAGCCTATTCCTATTGTTTTTCATCATGCCTCAAATGAACATTCTAGCTATTTACCACAATAGTAAAAGCTTTAAAGTTGACATCTGCCTTGACCAAGAATTCCCCTTTGGGGAATTTAGTAAAAGACAGAGATGTTTACAAAATGTTAGCTGCAACAGTCAACCTTGGGCCCAG